ATTTAACAATGTAGGCACTTCTGCCAAGACTTTTATTAATTGTTTTCCACTTCAAGTCAATGAAGCATGGCAGGGTTATTGTCCTCATTTTTCGGTTGAGAAAATAGGGACCGAGGGTTAAGCAACTCACCTAAGACCACATGTCAAAGCAGGGACAGAGTTGGCATTGGAAGTCACTTTCTGGGAATCTTGGGTCAGCGCTTTCTCTAAAAAAAAATTATGAAAGTTTCACACCAAGAAAAAAAGGACAGATTGTAAGCTAATATACACTAGGGAACCCATCACTTGGCCTCAGAAATTTTGTAAGAAAAAATGCAGATAGAAGGAAAGCCCCCTTTGCAGCCCTTCCAGTTCCAATCCCTCACTTTCCCTTCTCTGAGAAAATCAATATCCTGAATTTGGTGTTCTACATTAGCATACATATTTTTATCCCACATGTATTATCCATAAAAAATATGGTAGTTTTGCATATTTAACTTTATATTATTACTGTTATTTTGCACGAGTCCTGTTATTTTTACTGTTTTGTTCAACATAGTTTTTACTCTATATTCATGCCAATATATACATATATAATGTAGCAAGCTTATTGAGTCTCTCCATGATATCATATTTCATGATTATATATCAGTTTATCCATTCTCTTTATGAACACTTAGATGGTTTTTTTTGCTGTTGTTTAATATTATAAACAATAAATGCAGTGAACATTCTTGTACCTTTCACATGATTACTTTCTTGAACCCCATTTGAAAAAAAGAATACTCTTATTAAGATAGGTATGGAGATTCAGTTACCCTGTCTAAATTCTGCGCTAGAGTAATGCAGGAGTGAGTAGACAAAGCAAGACTTATTGGCTATATTTACATTTGAAGAGATTCATTCTAATTTTAAAAACCAATCCATATTCCCTGTTTACCAGGATTTTCAGTTGATTTATCAGGATCTGTCATTAAATCTTGAAATCTCAGTTACTAATCCACAAACTAATCATTACTAATAATACTTCCTGCCAGAACCAGACCTGAATTTCTGTAACCTCCAGGATTTTTGTCAGATTGAAAAAAACAAAACAAAACAAAACAAAAAACAAAAACTGGCAGCAACCAAAGTATTGAATTGGTAGAGATGTGCTCTGAATAAAGCAAGTTTTATCATTACAGAAATAGAAATAGTGGCCTGAAAATTTTAAGAACATCAAAATAACTTCCTTCTATAAAGTGTGCCCTGGGAAGAAGATTTCTATGGGTCATCATGCCTGTCTATCCCTAAAGTGCTATCTTTATGGGGTAGAAATAGGCAAAGGATGACCATTTATGTTCAGACCCTTATAGTCTGTTTTAAATGACTGATTAAAAAACCTTCATGTCAACAATGAAACTAAATTATTTTGAAAAATCATTGTACTTTATTCTGGATTCTCAGAATTCTGAAGAAGCTGGTTCATTGTGTTAATACTGGAACTGCCTTTTAGTACCACCAGCTAATTGTGAAGACACTAGCATAGATTTGGGGAAAAATTGCTGGTACAAGAATTTTGGAGACGGGATTTTTTTTTTTTTATGACTGACTATGAACCTTGGGAAAGTCACCAAAGCATCTTAGACAGGGGGTTGCCCTAAGTCAGTAATTTGCAAATTTTTTATGCTGACTCCAGGTTGTTACATCAATTTTGAGGGTTAGGACAATAATAATAAAAATCATCATCATCATCACATGGAATAGAACAGAATATATTCAGGGAACAGTGTATGTGATTAGGGTGAGTATTATTTCATAAAATTCTTGTTACAGAAGGGTATGTGTGTTTTTGCGTGTGTGCATAATGCTGCAGGTAAAATTCATATTCCGTATTCCTTTTAAAAAACATTCGAAAGCCATTTATACCAGGTGACTTCAGAAAGGACCTCAGGGGGCGCCTGGGTGGCTCAGTCAGTTAAGCGTCTGCCTTCGGCTCAGGTCATGATCTTGGGGTCCTGGGATCAAGCCCCGCATCGGGCTCCCTGCTAGGCCGGAAGTCTGCTTCTCCCTCCCCCACTCCCCCTGCTTGTGTTCCCTCTCTCGCTGTGTCTCTCTCTGACAAATAAATAAAATCTTTAAAAAAAAAGAGAGAAAGAAAGGACCTCAGGGACATCTCAGATATGGTTATGTCCCTATTAAAATTCCCTAGTTGCTTCCATTTTTTTTTAGGATGAAGCCCAGATCTCCCAGCATAGCAGAAAAGGTCCTTCATAATTCCTGCCTTTGGGACCAGGCCCAACAAGGACATAGCGAACTATGAGCTCCCTGCTTTGACAGTACGGCTTCATGTCTCCACACATTTGCTGACATTTTTCCTGGGCCTCAAATGCTTTCTGTAGCCACGAAGCATTATCTTTGCTAGAAACCCTTCCCTACCCAACTATTCTTTATGGAACTGCTTACTCCTTCCCTTGGGTCTCTATTACTATTTTTTACTTACTTAATGCCATAGGCCACAGTACACTTCACTACAGTTAATGATGGTTTAAAAATGTATCTCCCCCTACTGAATTGTGAAGACTTTGAGGTCAGCTCTTTGTATCCTAAGAATTTGGGTTCTTTCCTTTTCTTATGCATATACTGTGTTCTCCCTTTCTCTCAAAATAACTTTATTCTTTAAAAACAGCACACATTTATTTTAAATGTCTCAAATGACATGAAAAGGCAGTTGAAAAATCACTCTAAATCCTACAGCCTAACAATGACCGATGTCTTTCTCTGCCTACATGCGTGTTTAGAGAGACATAAGCACCCACATGCACACACATACAGTGTTATACAAATAAATTCATTCGTTGATCTGACCAGTTTTTCCTTTCAACGATGGCAAGCCACTTTCCCTGTTAATGATATACCCATACATAGTTTTATATGGCTGCTTAAATTTTAGTTCATTAAGGGCAAAGATGTTAGACCTGACTCCTTGTTTCTTTTATTCCGTGAGTATGAATTAAAAAGTGGCATTATTGTCCTTACTTCCTTTGGTCAGCTATAGAGTCTTGAGCTTGTTTTGTAACTGTCTTCAAGGCATTCCCTTATGCCTTCTTCCCTTTATCTTTGGGCTGTGTCCTATTAAAATTTCTATATATCAGAGAGTCTCCTATCAAGCAATGTGATGTTTTTAGTCAAACTTTGTCTTTTTTTATTTTTGTTTTTTATTATTATTGTTATGTTAATCACCATACATTACATCATTAGTTTTTGATGTAGTGTTCCATGATTCATTGTTTGTGTGTAACCCCAGTGCTCCATACATTACGTGCCCTCTTTAATACCCATCACCAGGCTAACCCATCCCCCACCCCCCTCCCCTCTAGAACCCTCAGTTTGCTTTTCAGAGTCCATAGTCTCTCATGGTTTGTCTCCCCCTCCGAGATAGCATGAGGGGAAGAATGAAAGGGGGGGAGCCTTGTCTGTCTTAAGAGAATCATCTATAGCTATATTGGAAGGGTTTGACTTTTGATGGTTTTTCCATTTAGAAACTAATACAGTGGAATCATGCATATATTTTATATGAATATTTTTAATCTCATCACCCTAACATAAGGATGCATCTCAATTATACCTGACCTTCCCCTATTCTGTGGTCATGAAATTCAAGATGATATATAACTGTTTTCAATGGATATTTTTATTTTACCAACCACTTTCACTCTTTGGCAGATACAGATTGCTAGTATAGTTCATTAGGATACTTACTCTCTGGAGCTAAGATCAAGAACTACTCAGATGTATTATTTTAATAAAATGAAACATCTGGTACAGTTTGGGAAAGTACAAAGTCACACTATGATTACAGCTTATTTGTGGTGTGTGTGTGTGTTTGTGAGAGAGAGAGAGAGAGATCTGATTCAGGAATATATCAGTTTTGCTTCACTGTTACTGGAGAGCCTACATCCAGTCCATGTTATTCTTATGGATTTTCTCCTGTTTTCAAACTCAATTAAAACTCTTAGGAATTCTTCATCCTTCGAGTTGTAGATTCAACATTAGAGCACATTTTCATACTGTACAGCATTAATCTAACAACTCTCTTAGAAAGCCTTTTTGTTTCAATCTATATCCTGATCTTGACCCCATCTTACCAAGTGTCAGGGACATTTGTGTCATGATGTGCATTGCCTTAGGTTTTAATATAAAATGTGTGCCGTTTATTACCTATGCTTTAGTTATTAGTAGGTAGAGATCTGAGCATCAGTCATTTCCTGCTCCCTCTCTAATTATCTCATATAATTAACTATCACCTCTCATGTTTTCCTTCTTTCCATGCTGTACATGTCCTCCTTAGTAGCAGTTGTTCTCAACCAGGATAGATTTTGCCCTCGAGGAACATCTGGCAATTGTCACAGGAAGGGTACTACTGGTTTCTAAATGGTAGAGGTCACTGATGCCACTGATGCTACTTAACATCCTGCAATGCAGAATATAGGTCCGTTCCCTGCAACAAAATGTAATCCAAGCCAAAATGTCCATAGTCCTAAGGTGAAGGAATCTTGCTGTGGAAACTGACTTCCTGTGTTTTATTTGAACCTTCAGATTTCTTCCACCCCTGAGGTGTTCAGTTTAAAGTATCCTCTTGATTCAGACTAGCTACTTAGTAGCAGAAAGTGGTTATATTTAGATGTAAAATTATATCTCATGTCTCATCTGTGTCATGCTTTGGTTGAAGGGAGGCTGCCCTCATCATCAAAAATGTTTCCCTTGTTAGTAAAATAATAGTATATGAAAACTGACATTACCACAATAGCACAGAATAGGTAAAGTAGGAGGCTGAGGCATATTTCTAAGTAAAGAATAAAGCTGGAGAGATTGATATCTATGATTATCCTCAGATTAATAAATATGATTATCCTCAGATATTCTCTGCTCCAAATGTTATTTGTTCTTATGGAAATTCTATTTGTACATATATTGAGCAAATCTCCATGGTCAGCTTAATACTAACACGATCCCCCTTTCTTTCTCCTTTTTTTCCCCAGACATTTCACATTTTCAAGAACAAAATGATTTAAAAGGATTACTAGAAAATCTCCATCAAAATATCCAAGCCAAAAAAAGAAAGAATGTAGAAATCATGTGGTTGGCTGCAACGGTAAGCACTCTCCAGCCAGATCTTTGTCCTTGTCACCATGATGACCAGCAAACATCATAGAGTATTTGCTGTGTAGAGTCCAGTCCCTGCACTTTGGGTTACCAGATGTCATTCTCCATTATCCAGGGGTTTAGGCATTTTCAATGCTGTCGGTAGTTCTATCAATACACTAGAACACAAGATGGAAGAAGATGCACTCAACAAGAAAGAATTTTACCTATTGGCTTTTCTTGTATATCCTGGATGTTGTTTGAGACTTTGAGGCTAAAATGAAGTGTCTGTGATTTTCTTGATAGTCCATGTTTGCGATGTCAGTCGCCCATATCAATCAGGATTTTGAAGTGCTACTCTAGAGAAATGGTTGCAACAGAATGTGGTTATCAGATCTTTGACTTGGCCTCAGTAAGGCTCCTGGACATCTTGTTCAACTAATGAGCTTGTAAATGCGTTTGTTAATTTAGATATTAGCATAGAATTTATTACTGAATGATTGCTCTTGGGGTAATGAGCTATATTTTCTATGGTTCTTTCTCATTTAATGACACCCTCAGGGCAGAAGTTCTGCCTTATTTCCCACCCCAGGTTTCTACCAGAGTGAGGGAGAGAATAATGCCTGTATTTCTGAAACTCTTGTCTGGCAACAGTTCAGGCATAGCTCACATGAACTTATGAATTTTGTTAAGCATTCAGACCCAAAGATCCTTTCCTAATGCAAGAATCTTTTCATCAGAAAAGGCCCACATTGGAGATCTTTATGATGAATGCCATATTTGTAGTTCCTATACAGTGTTGCCTTTGTAATTTGGAGTTCGGTAACCGATCACCTAAAATAACTCTATTCATTCTGTATCAAGAGCATTTAAAACAAACCCTTGTCCCTATTGCCAGTGTTCAATTATAATCCGATATTACTTACTCTCTTCTGGGAAAAAGGAATGGATAATTTACCAGGAGTCTATATAAAATAATTTACCAAGAGCAAGGCAGAGGAAAGCTGCTTTAGCTTCCCTTCATGCCCTCTTGGAGCCCCAGGGAAGAACATCAAAGGTAACAATATGAAACATTGCTTTCAGGCAGCTCATTTACACTGGTCCCATTTAGCACCATACTGCATTACAGGAGGGTTGTTTTTAATAGTTTTTCCCCCAGTGGTGGCTGCTTTTTATGTCTTCAAAGACTCCTGTGGTTGTTAATTCTCACAAAAATTTCACAAAGGTAGGTCATGAGCTATTTTTGCTATTTTTACTAATAATGCGATAACAGGAAGGTAATTTGATCATTTACCAAGGCTTTCTGACAACTTAGGAGCATATACATATGTCACTATATACATATCATGAAGTTGTGTCTCAATTGATAAATGAAGGATGTACATGTGCAAACACAAATGTGTATTTTCTCTTAGTTTATGTAGTTTTACCATTTGAATGTATAAAAAAGTTTTCCCATAAATCTCATTCATTTCCTGAAAATTCTTTTTTGAAACTTAAACACTGACCAAATATGGCTTTCTCGCAGCTCAACTGTTGAATGGATGATTGACTGCCTTGATAAATACATGGCACCCATAATGTGCAAATTTAGCATTATGTAGGAACACTGACATTATTATTACAGCATTTCTGTAGCTGATACCTCAGTTTCAATATCCTTTTTGTAAATCAAGGACTTGGATAATACTTTTAAAATAAAAAAATATAGAAATTCCTTTTGACATTTTCCAAAAAGCTTTTATTTGTCTCTGTTTCATTCTCTTCTCTTTTAAAAATCTATTAATTATATATTACTGTGTTAATATTTGACATTCTCATTTAAAAAAATAACACTATTTGGTTTTGTCTTGATCAAATTTTAAAAATAAAAAATGAGAATTTAAAGAGACCACATGCCAATCAAGTGTATTAAATTAAGTTCATATGGTTCAAAGGAGCTATAGAAATAAGGAAACCAAGACCCAACCTGCTCACTCTGAATTGCCCCGCCTCCTCTTTATGTTAAATGTAGAACACTAAATATCCTTAGTAGGATAGTTGCATATACTAGAGACAACATATTTTAAAGACTATTCATTCTTTTTAAAAATCATTATCTAGGGGCACCTGGGTGGCTCAGTCGGTTAAGCATCTGCCTTCAGCTCAGGTCATGATCCCAAGGTCCTGGGATCCAGTCCTGCATCAGACTCCCTGCTCAGAAGGGAGCCTGCTTCTCCCTCTCCCTCTGCCCCTCCCCCTGCTTGTGCTCTCTCGCTCTCTCTCTGTCAAATAAATAAATAAAATCTTTTTAAAAAAATCATTGTCTCATAAGTGGCCATTGAGGTCTATATTTCATTATTATGAATATGAATAGCCAAGTCTTTGTTGTTTTATATTAAAAATGTTGAAATACTCTTTATTTGAAAAGATTAGAGTCTTCCAGATGAAAAAAAAATATGGTGAAATCTTGCTATATTTCTCTAGTCACTTACATTGGAAATAGTGAGAAAATACTAAAGGTCTAATAAGGAGTTGTAAATCCTAGTGTAAGTATCAGAATCACAATTAAAACATGGTAAAAACCCTTGATAAACTGTGTTAGTATATCTTTTCCTCAAAGCAGATTAACTGTTAAGGCCTCCTTGACAGCAGGTAATAAAGCAAGACTGTATTATATCACATTAGATTTATTTTAAGTGCATGTTGATTAACATTGTTGATACTAATGTAGTGTTGGTCTCTCATATCAGAGCCCTGCCATGGGACAGGGAAGAGAAAGGGAGAAAGGAATGGAATTATTCACCTGTTAACCATAAGAAAATGAGGCAAGAGATTATTGTGGCTCAGAGATTTTTCTCTTGAATTACATTGGGATAACAAAAAGAAAGAATTTGCAAAAAGAAACAGAATAGAAGGGAAGCTAAAGGCTTGGTTCTTGGCATTAGGCAAACCTACATTAGCATCCTGGACTCTGTTCAGTTGTGCCCAAGTTAGTAACCTAGCTAAGCCTCAATTTTGTCATCTGTAAAATAAGAATGATTACATCTTCCTCCAAGATTCGTATGCAGTTATTGAAAGAGCAAAACTAGGGGCACCTGGGGTGCTCAGTCAGTTGAGCATCCAACTCTTGATTTCAGCTCAGGTCATGATCTCAGGGTTGTGGGATCAAGCCCCGTGTCAGGCTCCACGCTTAGCTCAGAATCTGCTTGGGACTTTCTCTCTCCCTCTCCCTTTGCCCCTCCCCCCATTGTGTGTGTACCCGTGCACTCTCTCTCTCTCAATAAATAAATAAATAAATAAATAATTTTAAAAAATAATTAAAAGAGCAAATCTATATGAAATTTATTAACATTATACCTGATAGAGTAGATGTGCACTTAACAGTGACCCTTTGGTGTCCTTATTTTTACTAGTTGCATTGATGAGTGGCTAGTGGTTCACTTATCTGCTTCATGGCACCATGTAGATGTTTGAAATCTCATAACCTAAAGCCAAAACTCGCAAAGGTTTCTTAAATGTAAAGTAAGAAGATGTTAGCTATTTAGGATTCAAACCAAGTGTCTGATCCAGGAAGTCTAGTTTCATTTTCCCTTCACAATTAAGGTGTTGCTCCTAAGCGGTGATTATTACTATCATCCGCTACGGCTCAGGCCCCCTCTCAGGGTAGTGACCATCTCATATGGCTTCAACAGCCCCACACCTCACACATCACATAGAAAGAACTAAATAAATTCAATCTGTTCCCCTGGCTTTTGAAATGAAAAGATAATGTGTTTCATTTGCTAGGGCAGGTTGAACCAATTGACTATCATAAATTCACATAAATTTGGCATGTTTAGGTAAGAAGTGTTTATAGACGAGTCCGACATTTAGAGTCATCTACAGATGGGCAACGAGCTGTTTGTATGTCTGTGTTGCAGATTTGTCGCAAACTCAATGGCATTCGTTTCACCTGTTGCAAAAGTGCCAAGGACAGGACATCGATGTCGGTGACTCTGGAACAGTGCTCAATCCTGAGAGACGAGCACCAGCTACACAAGGACTTCTTTATCCGAGCCCTGGATTGTATGAGAAGGTAGCCTGCATGTCTGCAACTTTCTTTCTTTTAAGGCCATTTTAAAGTTGGGGGGCTTTTGTTTTCCAAATATATATTTTACTGGCAGACTAAATAGTGACTTCACTGCATTTCCATGGCTCATAGCTCATGACATGAAAGATAAAATAATATTAAGCATTCCCCCTGCTCATTTGAGGCAATAAAAGAGAAGGTGGCCGGATTTTGATAACAGCTTATGAACTCATTTAGATCTAAGTTTTAAAGGGCTCTGGTCCTTTCATATATAACTTGAAGAACAATTTCTTTATATATTAGTAATTATGAAAATGTACAACATAAAACTCTGTCGTTATCCACAGAAAATCTCTCCTGACCGCAACTAACAGGTGATCCTCGCAATGTCTTGTAGGGTCTCCGGGTCGGTCATCTCCTTCCTAAAATTATTTTCACATCACTCATCATAAAGGTGGGCTGACACAGATACTTTAGAATAGAGAATTAATATTGTTCCTCTGCCGACATTTAGAATGCTATGCCTGAAGTCATGTTTCTTGATTCATTTCCACAGTAATTAAATCTAAAGTCTAAGCCATAATGGGGAGGAAAAGGTGTCTCATTCACAGTGTCTGTCAGGAAGGACACACGTTAATTAAAAAGTTAAACCTAATTGTCTTTTTGCTGCAAAGACAGGCTCAGAAGCACACCAGATAGCATGGGACACACTCTTGTATTTCCAGAAAGGAATGTCCTGTTGCTCTAGAGAGGGCAGCTTCCTATCTGGCATATCATTAGCTCGCGCCCCTCCCCCCCCCCGCCTTTTTTAATGGCTGCAGTCTTTCAGTGGGGATGTGGACGCTTGCCTGCGCATGCCTTGTGCCTGCATGCTTTCCCCACTACGTGAGAGATTTCTGGAGCCCCCTCTGTTTCCCCATTTCATGTCGCTTGGCATTTTCATTGTTCAGTGGAGTTCTATTATGATTTCTTGATAAATGTATGAGGATGTCTTCAAGGCCTGACATGAACATCTCAGCCATATAAAATGCACTTGGTTGATATAAAAAAACTTCTTTTAAAAATAATCTCTCAGCACTAATAGGAAGAATTCAGAATCTGAAGCTGAAATCTTCTAAAGTGAAGAAAAAGAATACAAATATCACTATGGTTACAGCAAAGGTACTAGGTGGGGAGAAGAGGAACACATGATTATCATAGGCCAGATACACACCAGAGGACTACAATGATTCAACAAACACGAATTATCTGGAAGATGCAATTGTTGTTTATTTAAGGCAGAGATAAAAGAGGACCCTTAAATTAGAAACATGATTCTTTCAAATTGGTAAATAAAAGGTGTATCATATACATGTTAAAATATAAAACTAGATAGTGTGGTATTGCATAAAGGTTGTATAAAATTGACATTATATATGTAACATACTTGCTCACAACATAACATTTATAGGGTTCATTTTTGGATTGTTAAAAAATGTAAGGTCTAACAATTTTAATCTAAAAACACTGAAGATCTTAACTTCTATACCACCACTTCTCTGGGGGATCTATATATATTTATATTTATATTTATATTTATATACATATTTTTTTATAAATTTCAAATCTGTCAAATTTATCATTTGGTTTTGTGAATGCACGAGAGCTGTGTGAGTCTGTGAGGGCACGCGTGTGTGTGTGTGTGTGTGTGTGTGTGCATATGTTTAAGGAAAATGATATATGTCCTTTCCTTTAATAACTGCCATAATTTCCTTCTTTGGATATTCTGTATTATAGTACAAGCCTATTGGTTTATGGTTTCTGGCACTATCCAGTAAATGAGAGCATGGGGTTTGGGAGCCAGCTGACCTGAGTTTTAATGCAGCCTATACGCCACTTACTAGCCATTGGCAAGGGGTTTTTTGTTTTGTTTTGTTTCGTTTAAAGCTTTTATTTATTTACTTGAGAGAGAGAGAACAATGGGGTGCAGAGAGAGGGAGAAGCAGACTCCCCGCTGAGCTGGGAGCCTGATGCAGGGCTGGATCCCAGGACTCTGGGATCATGACCTGAACCAAAGGCAGACGCTTAACTGACTGAGCCACTCAGGTGCCCCAGCCATGAGCGAGTTTAACGTCTTACTGCCTCCTACCTGGTTGGTGCCTTAGGCAAGTTAGTCAACCTCTTGAGGCCTCAGTTTCCTTTATCTGCAAAACAGATGTGATAATAATAGTAGCTCTTCGGAGGAGTATCTTGAGGATTAAATGAATTGATATATGTAAAGTGATTACAGAGTGATTACTGTGTAATACTTGTTAAGTAAATAAAAAATAAATATCAAGAGTCATGATGTTAACATTCTGATCTCAGGTACAGTAAAATATAATCACTATGGTCCCTATAATCTTTGTGAATATATTATGACAAGTTTTGACTCTAATACCATATATTAAAATAAAGTCTACTGCCAATTCTAATAAATAAGGTTTCAAATGCAATGCTTTATCTATTCAAGAAAATAGTTCTTTAAATTCCACCTTAAAGTGTGCGTGTGTTTACAAATGCTGTGCTAATTATGGATGGATTGTATTCATTAAAGTAGGCCTGGATAGGTTTCTTGTAAGTATTTTTATGTTAATGTGTATTATTGTATGCCCTTGGAATTTGAGTCATAGATTTGACATCAAAGAGTCACCCTAGAAATCTAGTCAAATCTGCTTTACTTTATAAATAATGAAACTGAGCTCTAGAATGTTTTGGCAAAGACTATTGAGACAGAAAGTATCAGAGCACTGGAACGTAAGTGCCCTTGTCATATTTTAATGTTATTTTCTTTGTACCAAATGAAACAAAATACTATCACTTAAAATTATTTGGTAATGTATTTGACTCCCTCAGATCTGTTACAGTTGACCCTTGACCAAACCAACACAAGTTTGAACTGCATGGGTCTACTTACATGTGGATTTTTTTTTATAAACACAGTACAGTAAATGTATTTTATCTTCTTATGATTTTCCTTATAACATTTTCTTTTTCCTAGCTTACTTTATTGTAAGAATACAGTATATAATATATATAACATACAAAAGATATGTTAATCAACTGTGTATGTTATCAGTAAGGCTTTCTGTCAACAGTAGGCTATTACTAGTTAAATTTTAGGGGACTCAGACATTATACATGGATTTTCCACTGTGCAGGGGTTTGGTGCTCCTAACCCCTGTGTTGTTCAAAGGTCAAGTGTATTATATAAGTCATATAAATCATTAAAAACCAGGTGCTTTTAGGAATTTGAGACTGTGTGTAAGACTAGAGAAATCTGCCCCAAATCCTGAGACCTGTGAAGAGCAGACCCTAGTTCTAGAATATGAACTATTTAATTTCAGCCTTATCTATTATGTCCACCATTGTACTAGGGCATTGAGCACAGTGTCTGGTCCATAGTAAAGCAAATATAAATAGGGGTTGAATAAATGAAGAACAGTCCACATAGGAATTCATTCTGTTGCCTTCTGTTTTTCACAACCATGTAACAATTTTGTCTTTTTTTTTTAATTATGTTTTCAATTATATTCAAGATAGCAATTTGGTTCTTACTTCTATGTCTAAGCCTTGTTTCCTGGGGTTGTCCTTCGGTGTCTGTAGTTCAGTGGTTAATGATAAGCCAGAGGTTGCACTCCAACAATTCAATCCAATAAAGCTTCCAACCTCTTTTGATGTTGATTGTGGATTGTGAACCTATTCAGAGTTCAGGAGTTTTCAAACCTACTCTGCCTTTTATTTCCACCAGACCTGTTAGGTCCTCCTAGTTGGCCGGGATGTGTGAAAGTTTATCAAAACCCTCCATGGCTCTCTCATTTCAGGATCTCTGGTTAGATGAACAGCTAGTCATCTGGGAGTGGCCCCAGTGGGACTGCTATCTCAGGCTAGCTAAGAGGTTGACTGTCAGCATCCGTTTGCCTGAAGAGCACTGCTGTTTTTGGACAATGCATGGGAGTGGCATTTTCCACTGTCCGCATTCAGTGCAGTCCAGCGCACCGCCAGCTCACCAGAGTAGAACTTGAGCTGAGAGGGGCAGGAAGACCACACACTTCCCCTCCGCTTCCCCACTGTGGGTAGTTTTCCAAGAAGCAACAGTTCTCAGCATGTTGCTTGATTTCCGTTGATTACCAAGGTCCTGAAGTGGTTGATTTGACTGTATTTTCCATTCTCATCGTTTTTTGGGAGAAAGAGGATTTGTAGAACTCCTCGGTCTGCCATCTAGGAAATCCCACCCTCAGACAGTGGCTTTAAAAGGTGCCTCGGACTGCTTCTGGGGCTTTTCAAAACTATGATTTATAATTGGAAAGATCTGAGGTAGACCCAGGGATCTAAATTTTTTAAGAATTTTAATATTCTGGGACACAACCTTAGATTTTAAAAAATCAGTGTTTTAGAGGACTTTGATTTTTATGCTTTTGAAAATATTGGTTTTTTACTTTATTTAACATCAGTTGCAGTTTATTTTACCGTTGAATTATTCTAACCACCTTTCAGGCTTTTTGCTCTGGATTTTTTTAAAGTTCACCAAGGTTATAATATCATTGCTGTTTTTTGGGTTTTACTTTTCCTTATCTATATTAAATTTTTCTATTGCATTTTGCTTCTCTCTGTAAGTTTCAGATTATTTATGGATAAATGAAATGTAATAGATAAAGAGAAATAAGTAAAGCTTCATTTGGCTGCTTAGTCAGAAACTCCCTTGGCAGAATAAGCTCCATGAGAGCAGGTATTTTGGTTCTCCTTTGTCCATTGCAATCTTCCCAGTACATGCCTAGTGATAGTAGGTTCTCGATAAATACTCAGCAAATGAGTAGATGAATGAATGAATAACACAGGTTTATAAAATGTTCAGGTCATCTATATAAGGAGTTTTGTGCATACATAGGCATTTAGAATTAAACATGAGATTACTACTCAGTTGTGACATATTTATCAACAAAAGTTCCAGAAGACGAAATTGAAAGCTTTTGGAGACATTATGATAC